CCTGAGAACTTTTTCTGCTGCACAGATTTGTTTGTTAGTCATGTGGCCCCAATATGGAGCTCAAATTCCTAGGTATCTGCATCTGGAAACAATTGGCCGTTGTGTTTTACTTGATTACAATTCAGGCAGAGAAACGAAAATAGTTCTACAAATTTTTACGGTTCTCTAGTATTTACATACTGTTTTACTAATCGTGTTTAGTGTTATTTATATTATTTTTGGGTATTTCCATGACAAGTCAAACAATTATAAAAAATAGGAATTGCTACACACTAACAATCAAAAGCAATACTTAATAAAATAATTATTGTACTTTATATAAAGTACAATAATTATTCTATTAAGTATTACTTTAGATTATTATTGTATGGCAAATAATCATTGTATTTTATCTAAGTAAATTAACTTATATAAAATAGAATGATTATTTTATTAGGTATTGATATCCTCAAATGCTTTACTTCTCATGCTTTTCTGTCTTCTGTCGTATGAGTCAATCCCACCTTTTACGTTATTTGTCCATCCGGTTTTTCCATGACGTATCATTATTTATCTGCCTTTCATCCTATTCCCCCAAGATAACCAAAGATGAACACCGACAATCTCCAGTACAAAATCGTTGTGCAAGGCCTTCCCGCCGTAAGAACAGCACATATATATGACTACGAAGCATGGATGGCCCCTTATGGAAAAGTGAAAGGTATTTGTTTATTTTTGCGCACACATATATAGGGAAGCGAGCTATAGCTATAGCTATGCTTATCTTTTGCTCATTATTTTAAAGCTGGATATTTTATTTTTTTATATACGTTGTTAATCCCTTGTAGTTTCCAGTGCAAGTCTCTTATAAGAAGATTGCAACCGAGAAAATTATCAGAGCTATTGAAGCGTGCAAAATAACTGCTAAGACGAATATGTTAGGAGGACACTACCAGTTCATACGGTTGAGTATTTTTCACTGGGGTGCTTTTAAACTGAGGCGTCTTTTGTCAGGCCCTAAAAATAATGAGCTAACATTTATCTGGCCTAACGATGGAAATTAGCTGAGGAGGTCCTCCAAAAACGATTCAGAAACATTGTCTGTTGCAGGTCAATAACGACAAACTGTTCATAACAAGGAGGGCGTGTCGGATCCTACTGAGTTGGAATGCCATTGAAAGGATAGTAAGGAGTAGAAGTAGAAGAAGCAAACATAACCTAACTAGCCGTCCTGAAAGGAGAAGCTAACTATTCCTTCAGTTAGCAGTTCCACAATCAGCGGCATTTAGGACACTGTAGTAGCGTGTCAGATTGTTTATTGTGACAAATATTTGCTGAGGGCTATAAAGTTAAAGTCCCCAGAGTCGACCATACTCTCCTTCCTTTCTCATGCACCAGTCCACTGTCCCACCCGGTGAGGCCTCTGGTGCAGGCATTAAGTGCGGTTGGCTGACAGGGCGTGAGCTTACGCCTAGGTGCGCCACTGCACCGTCATGTCTATGGTTTTTATTATAGGTGTGCAGCCCGACAAACGCATGGCGTTCACTGAGTTGGCCCCGTGTTTGTCCAGAGCATATCTTTCATGACGTGCTGTAGGGGGCACACATGGACACCCCGGTTTAGTCCAGCTTAGCGTCCGAGGGCGGATATGGGGCTGTGGATGCCGTACTGAGTACTATTTCTTGGGGGCAACAGCTGGGTAGCAGTGCGACCAAGTTAGTCAACACGTGTGAAGGTAGTCGTCGAGCCGTTTCCATATAGTTGCTGACAGTGAATAACTGGACGTGGAGGGACTGGATCACCACAACGTGCTTCCCCGATGCCCCCTACACCCTTGAGTAGAAAAAAGGCTTTATGCAAGGGCTGCTTTCATATACTCACCCGCAAAAAGTAGCAGGACACATCGCACTGAGATGCTAGGCAAGCAGCAACAGCTCAGGTACTCCGTGCTAACTATCTGGACTTGGTTTATTGTGTTTCCTGGTGTTCAACGCCTGTCCTCTTAGCAGTCATTAAGCAGGTGACCTTTTCTGCTCCCCCGCCTCACAAAAGGGGCAAACATATACGCTCGTAAATAGTCCCGTTTAGACGCCCCGATGGCTGCCTTATTCCATCACTGCTTATCGTTGGGACCGGTGTGATGCACTAACTGCTATTGACCTGTTTAGTCCGCCAGGTTTTTTTCGGTGATCAGATTAATGGCAGCGTAACTGTCGAATGAGCAATTCATGGTTAAAGAAGACTTCAGATCAACGAGCTGGGGGTCTTTAGCTAAGTGATCCAGGATGTCGACCTTTTCCCAGTCTCCCAGAATTATGTATTCATGCAATATTCACGCTCTTATGATTTTTCAATTTCAAATCGGACCTAGTGCACCGCCACTCCAATTATTTCGGTTTTAACCAACCGCTTTTTGATATTAAGTTGAGGCAATTGTTTGGTGTCCTAAAACAAAAAGTAGTTTGGAGTCTTATCTCTCAAGCAAATTTCGGTTTTGAAATTTGCTCTTTTACGGGGAAATCGCTATGACCGGCCAAAACTGACTCATTGGGTTACGTGTTTGTGCGTGACTCTAATTTGATAAACCGGTTATGGCGTTTGTTTAGTTCACTTGTGTAAGAAATCGAGAGTTCCTGGTTGGCATTTTGAGAACTTCCTTCGCTGTACACCATGTGCTTTTATTTGCCTACAACAGTGTTACCTAAACTTGTGAGATCGACCAAGAGAAGATTAGGCAGACCCGACTACCTCAACGACGCCCAACTGTCTCTCTGGTGGACTGTGCCTAAGAGGAGTTGTAGAATATCCACCAGATCGAATACAATTCGGAAGAAATTTAGGGAAAAACAGTTCTGGTTTCAAAACTGCGAATTTCGCACGCTCTGTGCAAAAGTACTGGAACTGTCCAAACAATTACCCCAACAGATATTTTCGTATATATGCCACAATATTACTGAAAGTTGTTACAAATGCATGTTTGCTAGTGGCTAATTTATTAGATATTCGTGACTTTAACTATTGTAGTTGTAAAACTTCCTCTGGTACCGTATGATTTATGGATACTCAAACTGTTTGGGACGTAAACCTAGCTCAACGTATGATCTTCGTAGCCCCCAAAAAGCAATGTCTCCTGCGTGTATACAATTAGTAAGCTTGCTATTTACATCGTAGCCTATGCACACCGATTGAATCCCGCGTTTGCTTTTCTGTCAACTAGGCATGTATATCTTCCCGAAAAATCTGGTCATTGAATTTTATCAAGAGCTCTCGGTCCCCACCGCTGTTCGTTACGAAGATGGTGCAGTATTTCAGAGCCACACCGTTTCCGTCAGTGCAATGGAGCCCTGGCACCAAAACATCCTGGGTGAACTGGTCGAGTGGATCGGCCCGGAGGTTTTCCACGGCGATTTCGTCGACACCGAACACATTCCGTCCGAGTCATGCCAATCAATTTCAATCGGCAGGTGTCCAGTAGACCTGGACGACTGTCGGAACATTCCACCCGATATTCTGTGAGGAGGTTTACTTGTTTTTTCTTCATCTATACTGCTTTTTTATTTCTCCTAGTTCAAAAAATCGTGTCCTTTACGCTGGCTTCCGCTTCCTCTACTTGTAGGCTGAAGAAGGTAATGGCCGAATCACGATTCCTCACTGCCACCCAACTTGGGGCAGTCTTCGAGATTATACAGGCGCTTCGTTCGCGCCTCGGTTACTCCATAAATACTACAATTGCATCAGGTATCTCACTGGACTAATCTTTCTTCTGCCTTCTCTTTGAAGTTTTTGGAGCTGTGTGATATTCGCTGCGCTCAGTCAGTCAATGATGTATGTGAAGTCTATAGCCGGTAAACTGCAGGCATGTGCAGTCATGATCACGCAGTTTGTAAACCCGCTTATGAGGCCTCCTAGTTTTCCCAGCCACACGCCCCCTACATTCTGAGTGTTTTTATTCTCGCTTGTGCCAGAATCAATCATTGAAAGTGACTGTTACTACAGGACTTGTTCTGCCAACTAAGCTTTAAGATAACGGATTACATATCGAAAGTTGATATCAAAATATTATCGTTTTGATAGGCAAGTGAGATCAGCAGACCTGGTTCGCAACCACGAGCCTGCACGCCACAGTGGAGTATTTAAATTAACCGTGTGTTTTACTAAAACCTCACCAGTCTATTTTTTTTTCTGAGGAGGGGGCAAGGTGGAATCCTTTGCCAAACACTTTACAGTATGTCTGCTCCGTGAATTTGGATGCACTCATTGAGCGCTGTTTGTCAACTGGAGTTGAGTGGCGAATGTTTTGAGATCCAGTCAAATCTAGCTACTGATTGATCTCTTGCGCCTCGGCAGCAAATTGGCTGAGTGTATTTCTTGGCTTAAAACTAGGACAGCCGCGTGAACGCTTGTCTCTCGCGGCCCACGAATACGCGCGCATTAGTTCGCCTCCCCTTGTCTGGCCAATCATCTTTCAAGGTTGACTCAGGAAGGGCCTTGCTGCAACAACTGCCGTCAGACGCAGACACTTCGGACCAAGCCCCC